GGAGTTGGAGGAACCCCCGTCCTGGCCACAAAAGGGCTGACTGCGATAAAAGGATTGGCTCTGCCCTTCCTGTTGCTTAGTGGCCAGTTGTAGCACCTTCCGCTTATCTTTGGACTCTATCAGCAGAGGCTCTAATGGGGGACCAAAGAGAAGGGAGGAGGAATAGGGAGAGGAGGCTAGCCTCCACTTGGCCCGGGCCTCCGCCTGCCACTGCTTCAGCCAAAGGAGATGGCGGGTGGAGATGAAGTATGCAATGGCTTTGGATGTAAAACGGGCTGCATCCAAGGAGGCATCTGCAGTGTATTCTAGGGCCGCCTTCAATTTGTTAATGTCCCTGCGAGCCCTAGAATCTCGGGCTGGAAGCCGAGCTTGAAGTTGTCTCAGCCATAATAGAGCAGAGTGACTAAAGAAGGAGGCAGAGGTACCCGGTCTAACGGCCCAAGCTGAGGCCTGGTGACCCTTGACCAGAGTTTGTTCTATCCTTTTGTCTTCAGGGCAAAGAGCCTCCTCAGGAGCTAATGAGGCTGCATTAGGAGAGGAAAGACCAATTATAGGAAAGTCAATAGAAGGTACCTCCAGAGCCTTGGCGAGGTCAGGTCTGACATTATACAGGCGCTTGTCCAAGTTATTGGGGAGGGGACCTGTACCTGGTGATGCCCATTGATTCTGGACAACGTCTATGAAGAGTCTGGGCGATGGAATCACCTCCTTTTCCATCGTGGGCTGGATGAAGAGAGGATCAATGGTGTCATTCTTGTCTGCCTCCGTTCCCTGAGCCGTCTTGGGAGAAAGGAGAGATCGAAAGACAGCAGGTTTGAATAAACCGATAAAGGCAGGTGGGTTGGGAGGAAGACCCTCGTCCTCCGAGAGATCTGAATCTCTTGCAGGGCGTTGCTCTTCTCCAAAAACCGACGGTTGACTGGAAGTACCAGGTAGCTCGTGCGATGATGAAGCCAAGAGATCGCCCTCCCTGTGCCTGGAACTGGAGGAAGAAGCAGACCTGTGAGAAGTAGAACGGTTAGAAGACTTGTGTTTAAGTCCAGCAGCTATGCCCCGTTCGATGGCTCAGATATCATATCACCCATGCCAGGTGAGTAAGAACGGCGGCAGCGGGGCGGGGGAGAAATGTCCTCCTGGCAGAGGGGATCCTCATCAGGGGTAATGCTCCTGCCACCATCCGAATCATCCCCACTGCTGGCCAAATTGCCTGAGCCCCTGGCATCCTCAAGTTGGAGAATGGAAGCAGCAGGGGAGAGGTCATCCTCTGAATCAGAAGATAGGTCAGGAGGAGGACTGGAGTGAACAGGTCTTTGGGCCTGGAATAGATGTGATTCAGTGTGCTTGGACTTGGCCCTGGCTTTCTTTGGAGGCACTGTCATTTTCCTGAGGGGATGGTTTGGCTGCACCCCTCTGATCAGATCTGGAGGTCTTGGAAGGGGGCCCAGTGGGGGTAGCTTCCGGAGCAGGCCTGCGCCTGTGGGTCCCAGATGATGGGGACTTGGTGGTGGGAACAGGGGTCAAGGAGGTTGGAGGCCCCTGCGGCTCAGAAGGAGAGGCCATGGCCTGTACTGATGGCATGTTGAAGGAGGTAAAATGGCCGCTGGATGATTTTTGCGCCCAAGCAAGATGGCCACTGAGGCTACAGAGCCTATGGGCCGGCGGCACGAGGTAGCCGAGGGCGCGGATTGCACATGGGCGTCAGAGGCCCTGTGGCAAGGCTGCAGAAGCGAGGGGGCAGCAGCGGTGGTCTAGTGGCAGCACAGAGAAACGGCGGCGGCGGCGCTTCCCAGCAGCGGAGGCTTTTGGCGGCTCCCTGCAGCGTCCGGCGGCTTCTGGTGGCTCCCTGCAGCATCCAGCGGCTTCTGGCGGCGGTTAGCGGTGTTGGTGGCAAAGGAGAGTCAGGACAAGTCAGCAGAGGCAGCAGCGCTGAGCGGAGCCTCCAACGGCTATTGCCTGATTGCGCAGTTTGCCAGGGAGTCTCTGAAGCCCAAAGGCCAATCCAGAGGCAAAAGCCATGAAGAAGCCCCGGCTATGCCTCTCCAGAAGCCCAGGGGCTAAGTATCCAGCAGAATTTTTAATTTAGAATAGTCAATTAATAAATCAAGTTGAGGAGAGAGCAATTAGCACAGCCAGTTCCGAGCGAACTGAGTCTAAAAAAGCAGGAGCATGCTCCTCAGAGGCGATGACATCACTTTGGTAGACTCAGTTCTATTGGTTACTGAGTTAACCCATGCATGACCGCTGTCTCCACCAACTTAGGAGAAAGTGGCAAGAAGGTGACAAGCAATAGGGAGAAAGCAGAACTATTTAACCCATTTTTTGCATCTGTCTTTACACAAAGGGAAAAAACAGTCCAACCTATCAAAAACAGCACCACAAAAAACAGATTAGGAACACAAGTGAAAATAGGGAAGAAAATGGTAAGTGAGCACCTGTCTACCCTAGACGAGTTCAAATCACCAGGATCGGATGGATTACACCCCAGGGTTCTGAAGGAACTGGCAGATGAGATCTCAGAAACACTGAACTATATCTTTCAAAGATACTGGAGCACCGGGGAACTGCCAGAGGATTGGAAAAGAGCTGATGTAGTTCCCATCTTCAAAAAAGAAAAAAATTAGATCCAGGAAACTACAGACCTATCAGTCTGACCTCAATACCAGGGAAGATTCTGGAAAAGATTATCAAGCAACAAATCAGCATACACCTAGAAGCCAACAAAGTAATAACCAAAAGCCAACATGGATTTGTCAAATCAGATCATGCCAGACTAATCTTATTGCATTCTTTGAAAAAGTGACAAAATTAGTGGACTAGAGAAATACTGTCGATATAATTTACTTGGACTTCAGTAAGGCAATTGATAAGGTAGACCATAACCTACTACTAGTTAAAGTAGAAAAATGTGGGTTAGACAACATCACCACAGCATTAGCCCTCTCTAAGCAGTTTACAATGTCAGCATCTTGCCCCCAACAATCTGGGTCCTCATTTTACCGACCTCAGAAGGATGGAAGGTTGAGTTAACCTCAAGCCCATCAGGATTGAACTCCAGACAATGAAAAGGAGAGCTGAAAATCCTGATCATCCCCTCATTCTTCAAAAAAAAAGTTGGCAATGATTTTATTAGGACAAAGTACAGATAAAGAAAGGGTCCAAGTCTGAAACAAGGCAGAAAGACAGAGGACTAAATGGAGGAAAAAACTTCATTTGTTAAATTGCAGCAGGGGGTTGGACTAGACAACCTCCAAGGTCCCTTCCAACTGTCTCCTCTCCTCTCCCCTCTATCCTATCCTATCCTAATCACCTTTCCTATCCTATCCTATCCTTCTATTCATTCTAATTCTAATTCTAATTTTATTCTAATTCTATTATTTCTTATTCTAATTCTATTCATTCAGCCCAATATTTTTGTTGCTGAGACATTTGTTAATTGTGTTAATTTTGCCCATGTCTTAATTTTGCACCATTTTACAACCTTTCTTGCCACAATTGTTAAGTGAATCACTGCAGTTGTTAAAATTAGTAACACAGTTAAGTGAATCTGGCTTCTGCATTGACTTTGCTTGTCAGAAGATCTCAAATGGTGATCACATGACCCTGGGACACAGCAACTGTCATAAATATGAACCAGCTGCCAAGTATCCAAATTTTCATCATGTGAACATGGGGATGCTGCAATGGTTCTAAGTGAGAAAAATGGTCATGTCACTTTTTCAGTGCTGTTGTAACTTTGAACAGTCACTAAATGAACTATTGGAAGTCGAGGACTACCTGTAGTTATGACATGATCAAAAGGTGATCATATTACCCTGGGACGCTGCACCTCCCATAACATGCCAGGCGTCAACACAGAATCCAGAGGATTAAAACAAAAGGTGTTTGTGTGTGTATGCGTGCGATCCTCCCCTTATCACAGAAAAGGATCACCTGCCTGATCCTGCAGCGGAGTGAGTGTGTGTGTGTGTGTGTGTGAGAGAGAGAGAGAGAGAGAGGGGGGGGGAGAGAGAGAAAATGTTGCTGCCTGCCACCATAGCACCCCTAATCCTGGGCTGTGCTGCTACCCCACCTGCCTCTCCCTCAATGGCTTGGCAGAGGCCCACCCCTCGGAGCCCTGATTGGATGCTGGGAGGCACGGCTGCTTGTCCCTTGGGGTGAATCGCTCAACTACAATGATCCCTCTGCAAATCACCTGCGACTGGGGGGACGGAGGTTGAGGGCTGGGGTTCCATTGGTGTCAGACAAACGCCAGCAGAGGCCCAACTGAGTCTGAGCACTCATTGTCAATTGGCTGTGGCTGGAGGGCCGGCGTGAAGGGTGCGTGAGCATGTACAGAGGCATAAAGTCCTAGACCAGAGGTGTCAAACTCATGTAGTCACGTGACGTATCGTGACTTTTTCCCCTTCGCTAAACCGGTGGTGGGCGTGATGCGTCTGGCCTGCGGGCTGCAAGTTTGACACCCCTGTCCTAGACCAACAGGTTAATTCCATAGAGGCTGATGGAATATGATCTAGCAGTTCAAGAATTCAATTTGGAATATATTTTTCCTTTTGACTTAGGAATCATTAGACACCTTTTCAATTAGTTCATTCATCCACTGGTAGTCAAGAATGCAAGCCCTCATGTAACTCCATGTACAGTTTGCAGAAGTGCTGTTCTGTACTTATAATGGGATCTTTTGTGAAGCCTCACATCACAATGGTTTGAGTTCTTGCACACCCTATCTGGGAATGGATTTGGTATCAAGCCCCACCAATGGCAGCATTTCTTAGATACTAGCTGGACTTTACCCAATATAATTCTCATAGAAGGAAAGAATACCCAGGGGGTTCAATTTCACTGAACCTCTGACTGCTAAGTAATCCTGAAAACTTTAAGCCAATTTAGCTGCACTACATGGGGACTATTAGCTTTTGAAATTTGACCTGGTCTGCTATATAGTTAAAAAGCTGTTTATATGCTTAAATTGGCTAAAGTATATAATGCACTCTACACTCAAATGGTAAGAGAGAGTTTATTTAAGCTGCAACACACATGGTTTTAATACACTTAAATCAGATGAAAAATGCACTGAAGTATCAGCAGTAGAACATTTCCATTGGAAATGTGTTAAAATTCTTAAGCATTTCTTGTTACAGTCTTACTGCAGTTTTCTAATGTGAGTCTAGTCTATACTCCACATCTTTTCTATAATCATGCAAAAGCAAATCAGATTTTGAATGCGAAATCCATTTACTACAAAGAATCATATTTCACAGAGTAGCCAGCTTGGTAGAACAAAACCTGTAGAGTTCTTCAGGTAATTACACACAATTCAGAAGCCATGAACTTTCAGTTGTTCCTCCTTAACAATGCCAACCTGCAGAAAATATACAAACATCATCAGTAAGCCCTTGGCAGTTAGGACCAGAAATGTGAACACAAAAGTAATTCCACATACTAATCGAAGTATAATTGCTGAGCAGGGATGTAATACCAGCTGGGACTGGTGCAAAATTATCAATAGCAGCAGTTTTCAGTTTATAAATCAAGCTAGAAAATCCTCAAATGTTTCCTTAAAACACCCTGCAATAAAATCTTAACTGTTCAAATATATGGTATCAATTGTGTTATTAAGAAAATAAAAGTGTTGGAGCCAAGTTGGTCACCCTCTTCCACTCAGCCTCATAATTCAGCTCTTTATTAATTTAGTGAAAACAATAGACCTCACAGTTGGCAGAGTAACTCATTAAAATCTATTTTGTTATTATGTTCAGGCCCTAAAGTATACTAATGATTTCCAAGTATCTGTTTAACCTAAATGAGCTATAAGCATTTTACTATTTGAGTCAACTGTCTGAATTACTAGACTTATAGAAACTCACCTCTAAGAGGAACTGGCAAATGTTCTTCCTCTGGTCACCCTGCAACTGGATCACCTCTCCATATTCAGGATGCTCAATCACAGTACCATTACAGGCAAATTTCTGCAGAGAAACATTGTTATATTCAGTGGCAAAAAACTGTTTTTCAGGTACTTGAAGCTATTTCATTACACCAGAGGTGTCAAGAACACAGGCCCACAACACTCCCAACTGAGGCCTAAACCAGATTAAAATGGGTCACATTTAAGAAAGTAAAATAAAAATACAAAAAAACATAGATATTATATTTTAAAACTAAATAATAAATTTAGTCACCAATCACCAAAACTGTGGGCTCATGACTTACAAGGAATGCTGCACAAGCTCACTGCCTCAGCTTAATTGCAACAGCAAAGAATACTTGGCATTGCTGCAGCAAGGCCTAAGCAGGAGTACCATGTGACAAAAGCTTCTTCTCAGTCTCTTCTACAGCAGCCTCAAGTGCCCCAAGCTGCTGTAATTAAGCTATGGTTGCAAACTTGTGCCTTATCCTCAGATGGGAGGCAGGCACGCAGGCAGGCAGCCTTACACTGGTAGCTGACCTGCTGCAAATCTGAGCCTCCAGTGCATGAAGGAGCACCTCTCTGCAAAACAGGTTAAATTAATTTTTCACCTCCCTTCAAAAGAGGTTGAATTTGTTGAGTTTCAGACTGCAGAAGGTCCATGCTCATGGTTAACTTCATAAATTAAAAAGAAAAAAATGAAATATTACATTGGCGTAAGTATTTAGATCAGGGGTGTCAAACTCAAGGCCTGCAGGCCGGATCTGGCATGCAGGGTGCTTAAATCTGGCCCACGGGGCCGGCCTGGAAATATCAAAGGACCGGCCCGCGGTGTCTCTGCCAGCCAAAATGGGCTGGGGGGGGGCGCCCCCCATGGCCCGTTTTTGGCCTCCATATCCCAGGAGGTTGCAGGAGGCCTACTAGGCCCAAAACGGGAAGCGGGGTGGGGGGGGGCGCCCCCCATGGCCCGTTTTTGGCCTCCATAGCCTCCTGCAGCACTCTGCCAGCCAAAAACTGTAGTATACTCCATGCGACCCATTTTCAGCTGGGAGAGTATTTTAGGAGGCCAAAAACAAGACAGTGCCATTTTGGCCAGAAAAGTGCCAGTTTGACACCCCTGATTTAGACCCTTTGCAACAACACTTGAAATTTAGCTTAGGTGCCTCCCATTTCTTTTCATCATTGCTGAAATGTTTCTATACCTTGATTGGAGTCCATCCAATGATGGTCACTCTGACCAGAGATCCTGTATGGAGATGGGACAGAGTTCCAGAAGGACAACCATCACTTCAGCCCGCCACCAATCTGGCCTTTATGGCAGAGTGGCTAGATGGAAGCCTCTCCTCAGTGCAAAACACATAACAGCCGCCTGGAGTTTACAAAAAAGCACCTGAAGGAATCTCAGACTGTGGGGAACAAGATTCTCTGGTCTGATGAAACCAAGATTGAACTGTTTGGCCTGAATTTTAAATGTTATGTCTGGAGGAAACCAGGCACTGCTCATCACCTGCCCAATACCATCCCAACAGTGAAGCATGGTGGTGGCAGCATCATGTTGTGGGGGTGTTTTTCAGCAGCAGAGACGGGTCAGGGTCAAGGGAAAGCTGAATGGAGCAATGTACAGGGATATCCTCAATGAAAACCTGCTCCACAGTGCTCAGGACCTCAAACTGGGCTGAAGGTGCACTTTCCAACATGACAATGATCCTAAGCAGTGGCTTAGGGACAACTCTGTGAATGTCTTAAGAGTGGCCCAGCAGAACCCTGACTTGAACCCTATTGAACATCTCCTGAGGGGCCTGACAATGGCTGTCCACTGGCAGTCACCATCCAACCTGACTGAGCTTGAGAGGATTTGCTTCCTCTTTCTTCTTCCTTGAATGGCAGAAAATCCCCCAATCCATGTGTGCAAACCTTGTCGCATCATACTCAAAAAGAATCAATTCTTTTTGTTTCATTTATATCCCGTTTTTCCACCAGCAACAGTAATGCAATCCTCAGTGACATATCTAAATTTACATTCAACAGTGCTCTAATTTCTCTAAACACCATGTCCCATATTTTTTGGGCACTATCACAATCCCACCAC